AGATGTTCCATCAGTCTCTTAAAAAGACATTCTGTACGTCCATCCCATTCCAAGGCTACATTACAATGGAGACCCCCATAAAGTCCTAGTCGTAAACGCTCACACCAAGTTTGTAAGGCTGGCCAGAGATTATCCAATTTTCTTGAGATTTTTGGTTTAGATTTACCAAAAACCATATAATATGAGTTCAAACAACGCTTTCACTTGTATCCAATTAGGCGGGCCCTTGCACTACACAGTTAAAGGTAAATCTAAAGAAAATTGGGCAGAAATTGGACAGAAAATTGTATCGTTTATGGCCAGCCTAAGCTGAGATCTGGATAACTAGTGCTGAAGCCTAAAGTGCACCTTTTCAGAGCATAGGGGTTAGAAGACCTTAGATTGTACACCCCTTGAGGGTTAGGGACTGATGTGAATGTACAATATATATGTAAAGCGCTGCGTACAATGACGGCGCTATATAAGTACCTGAAATAAATAAAAGACAAGCCTGGGAGTAAAGGGCGAGGGGAAGAACAAGGAACAAAAGAGCGAAGGAAAAGAAGGGAGGAGTGTGGAAGAGTAAAGGGACATGAGAAGACTGGTGTCTACCATGCTATCCATAGGTACAGTTGTGCTCAAAGGTTTTCATCCCCTGGCACAAATCGTGAAATGTTGGCATTGATATTGAAAAGAAGACGGATCATGCCAAAAACTGTCTTATTTAAAGCGGAGCTCCACCCAAAAGGGGAAGTTCCACATTAAAGTGGACCCTGCATTCACTATATCTGGTCTCCCCGGACCCCGCATTCACTATATCTGGTCTCCCCGGACCCCGCATTCACTATATCTGGTCTCCCCGGACCCCGCATTCACTATATCTGGTCTCCCCGGACCCCGCATTCACTATATGCGGTCTCCCCGAACCCAGCATTCACTATATCCGGTCTCCCCGGACCCCGCATTCACTATATCCGGTCTCCCCGGACCCCGCATTCACTATATCCGGTCTCCCCGGACCCCGCATTCACTATATCCGGTCTCCCCGGACCCCGCATTCACTATATCCGGTCTCCCCAGACCCCGCATTCACTATATCCAGTCTCCCCGGACCCCGCATTCACTATATCCGGTCTCCCCGAACCCCGCATTCCCTATATCCGGTCTCCCAGGACCCTGCATTCACTATATCCGGTCTCCCCGGACCCTGCATTCACTATATCCGGTCTCCTGGACCCTGCATTCACTATATCCGGTCTCCCCGGACCCTGCATTCACTATATCTGGTCTCCCATGACCCTGCATTCACTATATCCGGTCTCCCAGACCCTGCATTCACTATATCTCATCTCCCATGACCCTGCATTCACTATATCTGGTCACCCCGGACCCTGCATTCACTATATCTGGTCTCCCGGACCCTGCATTCACTATATCTGGTCTCTCCAGACCCCGCATTCACTATATCTGGTCTCCCCGGACCCTGCATTCACTATATCTCGTCTCCCATGACCCTGCATTCACTATATCTGGTCTCCCCGGACCCCGCATTCACTATATCTGGTCTCCCACAGTACACAGAACATGGAAATGTAATTATATTAGTAAATATAAACTGCTAATTACCTTTTCTCATCAGTAGTTAGAGGAGTCTTGTGACTTCTATCAGTGTCCAGCCCACCACTAGCTAAAGCTTGTAGGAGGAATTTTCTTTCTGCTCTAGGAGGATGCAGAACCCCTGACCTCTGTCTGGATGGTGCTAATTGGCCCTGTGCTGATCACATGCACTCTCCCAAGAAAAAAAAACCTCTCTAGCAATACACAACAAATTGAGCATGTGTATGCCTACGGTTCAGTCTGGAGATAAGAGGTGGTCACTTGAAAAAAGGGAGGAACAGAGAAGACAGGATCAAACAGTCTTTTTACACAATGCAGAGGATTAACCCCTTAGGTTCCCCAGTGAGTATAACAAGCATGCTTTACTGCATATACAGACTGAATTTATTATTATTATACAGGATTTATATAGTGCCAACAGTTTGCGCAGCTCTTTACAATATAAGGGAGACAGTACAATTACTATACATTTCAGTACAGAAGGAATGTGAGGGCCCGGCTCGTGGAGCTTACAATCTAAAGGAAGGCGGAGGTGGTACAAAAGGTGATAGCTGCGGGGGATGATCTGGCGGAGATGATTCAAGTACAGTTCTTAGATGGAGGTGGGGTAGGCTTCCCTGAAGAAGTGAGTTTTCAAAGATCACCTAAAGGCAGACAGGGTGGGGGCTGACCGAACATGCTGTGGTAGGGAGTTCCAGAGGATGGGAGAGGCTCTGATTTTACTGTTGTGGGTTTAGTAACACTTTAAGGCTTCATCCCCCGCTCCCTGTTAAGAATTGGCACCCTTGGGGAGCGGGAGGGGGGTACCCGAATTTGACAGGTACCTGCTCCCACTTCTGCTGCGATCGCCTAGGCAATCAGAAGTAAAAGTTGTCCCCCACACTCCTTCCTGTAGTCTTCTGGGACACGTGACAGGTCCCAGAAGACTACGGGACCATTCACAAAGTGCAGTGCTACTCGAGCATGCGCAGTGGGCACCTGGCTGTGAAGCCGCAAGCTGTCACAGCCAGGTGTCCACACTGAAGATGCTGGCAACAAGGACACAGGATGGAAAGGGGCTGCGGTGAGAACACCACGGGATCAAGAGACAGGTGAGCATCTCCTAGATTGTAAGCTCAAAAGAGCAGGGCCCTCGAACCCCTCGTGTATTGTATTGTTACTGTCTTGTCTCATGCTCTGTCCCCCTTGCTACTGTACAGCGCTGAGCATACCCTACATAAATACTGTATAATAATAATAATCTGTTTTTTTAAAAGTCAGCAGTTACAGTTTTTGTAGCTGCTGATTTTTTTTTTTTTGACTGGACCTCCACTTTAAGGATAGCGATCATGTGAAACCATTTATTATCACATAATTGTTTGGCTCCTTTTTAAGTGATAATGATAACATAAATCACCCAAGTGGCCCTGAACAAATTTTTTGTTTCCATCTTTGTAAAGTTCCATTACCTTGTTATGCAGATCTTTTTGCAGTTCTTTTCTGCTCCCTGTGGCTCAGTATCTAGCCTGCTCAGTGCATCCACATGAGAGCTAACAAACTCATTGCCAATTTACCCGGGTTCCCACTGAATACGACTTTGAAATTGTGTGACTTCCCTTGAGGTCATACGATTTGAAAGTGGCATCTCAGTGGGACTTCAGGTGTGACAATGGGACACAGATTGCGAAAAAAAACTGACGGGGGTTACTCCCTTATTGTATCCAAAATGAAAAAAAAAAAGTTTTGACTATCGTTCTACTTTAACCCTTTATGCATGAATTATGAAAGACGCAATCTGGATTTTTTTCCTTTGGGCATGAAAAAAAAAATTTTCCTTTTTTTTTTTTTTAAGCATTCATTTTCCAAGAAGTTCTGCACTTGTCCACCTAAGTGGATGCATACATTTGAGTCTAACTGAAGGCTGGTGATGGTAGACCCGCAGATGGGATTTGCTGCACTATCCTATAGGCCGTTCTATCATGCTCTGCATTTGAGCTCTACAAAATATAAAGACATTAGAGCAGTAGTGAAGTCTCCTGGAAAAAATTTAAAATGATCCCTCTGCAGGTTTAGCCACTTGCCTTCCGGGCCAATTCTGGCATTTCTGTCATACATGGAAAAAAAATCTGAATTTTTATTTTTTGCTAGAAAATTACTTAGAACCCCCAAACATTATATATACAGTGAAGGAAATAAGTATTTGATCCCGTGCTGATTTTGAATGTTTGCCCCTCACAAAGAAATGATCAGTCTGAAAATTGAATGGGAGGTGTATTGTAACACTGAGAGACAGAATAGCAACAAAAAATTCAAAAGAAATGCATGTCTAACAAATGATGACTGATTTGCATGTTCATGAGGGAAATAAGTATTTGATCCCCTTCACAAAACATGACTTGGTACTTGGCGGCAAATCCCTTGTTGGCAATCATAGAGGTCAGACGTTTCCTGTAGTTGGCCACCAGGTTTGCACACATCTCAGGAGGGATTTTGGCCCACTCCTCTTGGCAGATCCTCTCCAAGTCATTAAGGTTTGGAGACTGACATTTGGCAACTCGAACTTTCAGCTTCCTCTACAGATTTTCAATCGATTAAGGTCTGGAGACTTGCTAGGCCACTCCAGGACCTTAATGTGCTTCTTCTTGAGCCACTCCTTTGTTGCCTTGGCTGTGTGTTTTGGGTCATTGTCATGCTGGAACACCCATCCACGACTCATTATCAATGCCCTGGCTGAGGGAAGAAGGTTCTCAAGATTTGACGGTACATTGCCCCATCCATCATCCTTTGATGTGGTGCAGTTGTCCTGTCCCCTTAGCAGAAAAATACCCCCAAAGCAGAATGTTTCCACCACCATGTTTCACAGTTGGGATGGTGTTCTTGGGGTCATAGGCAGCATTCCTCCTCTCCAAACACGGCGAGTTGAGTTGATGCCAAAGAGCTCAATTTTGGTCTCATCTGACCAGGGGCGGACTGACAACTCATGGGGCCCCCGGGCAATAGGGGATCATGGGGCCCCTGTGTCCTTGCCCAAACTCAAAAAAGCCTATGAAAAAGGTCCCAGGGGCATCTCATGGGGCCCCCTGCTGACCCCGGGCCCTTGGGCAGTGCCCAAGTTTCCAAATGGTCAGTCCGCCCCTGCATCTGACCACAACACTTCAACCAGTCCTCCTCTGCATCATTCAGATGTTCAGTGGCAAACTTCAGACGGGCCTGGACATGTGCTTTCTTGAGCAGAGGGACCTTGCAGGCACTGCAGGATTTCAATCCTTGTTGGCGTAGTGTGTTACCAATTGTTTTCTTGGTGACTGTGGTCCCAGCTGCCTGGAGATCATTGACAAGATCCTCATGTGTAGTTCTGGGATGATTCCTCACTGTTCTCATGATCACTGACACTCCACGAGGTGAGATCTTACATGGTGCACCAGATCTACAGAGACTGACAGTTTGTTTGTTTCCCCCCAATACTCTGCTCTTCTGACTCCTTGTCCTCTTTTCTACTTACTTTTTCTATTGTTTGGATATTTGTGTCGATCAGTCTTGGATTTATGACGTTTAATTATTGTTTAAAATGTATTTTATTGAAAGTACTAATAAATGTTTAATTCTATCACCTATTTATAGAGTCGGTGTGGAAATCGAGGCAGGCTGGGAGGGGCCCACGAGGTTATCAACCTGTCCCTGAGAAGAACATGGCTGGGTACGGAGTACGGACCATACAGTGTACGGATTATACAGTGTACGGACTATACAGTGTACGGATTATACAGTGTACGGACCATACAGTGTACGGACTATACAGTGTACGGACTATACAGTGTACGGACTATACAGTGTACGGACTATACAGTGTACGGATTATACAGTGTACGGATTATACAGTGTACGGACCATACAGTGTACGGACTATACAGTGTACGGACTATACAGTGTACGGATTATACAGTGTACGGACTATACAGTGTACGGATTATACAGTGTACGGATTATACAGTGTACGGACCATACAGTGTACGGATTATACAGTGTACGGACCATACAGTGTACGGACTATACAGTGTACGGATTATACAGTGTACGGACTATACAGTGTACGGATTATACAGTGTACGGATTATACAGTGTACGGACTATACAGTGTACGGATTATACAGTGTACGGATTATACAGTGTACGGACTATACAGTGTACGGATTATACAGTGTACGGACTATACAGTGTACGGATTATACAGTGTACGGATTATACAGTGTACGGACCATACAGTGTACGGACCATACAGTGTACGGACCATACAGTGTACGGATTATACAGTGTACGGACCATACAGTGTACGGATTATACAGTGTACGGATTATACAGTGTACGGATTATACAGTGTACGGACCATACGGTGTACGGATTATACGGTGTACGGACCATACGGTATAAGGATTATACAGTGTACGGATTATACAGTGTACGGACCATACAGTATGCAGATCCCTGATATAGAACATGCCATCTATCCAACTACAACTCATGGATCAGTGGACGTCCGCGGACTGTCAGCTGATTGTGTCCTACAGCGACCGCTAGGGGGTCCCCTTTCTGTACAATGAGAAGGAGCTGACCTGGCAATCACCCAGCAGCGGACCACGCCCCCAGCCGGTCAGTCTCCGCCCCCCGGTGTCTCTCCCAGGCTGGGCGGGGCTGGGTCAGTACGGGAAGGATGGGGCTGTGCGCTGTGTGCGGGGTGCCGCTTCTCATCCTCATCATCGGGGCTGCTGTGTGCCTGGCTGCCTGTCCCTGCTCCGATCCGGCTCTCTGTCAGCCCATCCAACACTCCCGGGACTTCGAGGTATTGGCAACCCGACTCCCCTCCCCCCCATCCTCACATTGTAACTTCACTTCCTCCTCCTATCACCGACATCG